GGACCTTGAAGAGAGAAAATGAAAAAATGAATTTTCCAAGCCCTAGCCCCTTTAAATCTTCTCTGATTACGACACTCTCGCTACAGTGAGATACTCTCGCTGCAATGAGTAGACCTCATTGTAGCAACACCCTCTCTCGCTATAGCAAAAATATCAGAGAAAACTGCATCCTGATTTCTACAGAATCTCGCTACAATGAGACTGCACACAGAAATACAGTTCAAATTGTGGCTTTGTCACTACAGCGAGGGACCTCTCGCTACAGCAACAAGGAGACAATTTCATCCTCTTCTCCTAGTGCCTTCTCACTACAGCGAGAACATCACAGTTTCAGGCCTCACGCCTAAGGCCCTCTCGTTATAACGAGAATCCTCTTGCTATTGCGACAATGCCCTGCAGTAGCATCCAAACTTAGCCTGTATACACACACACACACACACACACACACACACACATATATATATATATATATATATATATATATATATTCAATCTATCTAGTTCAGTCAATCCAATCCATTCACTTCATACATATATGTACATATATAATAAATACACAACACATCAAAGTCCACATAAACACTTATTTTACTAAACAAACTATATTACAAAAGCTGGGGTGTTACAACAGTTAAGTTCCAATTGGTTTCACAGCCCTACTAGCCTAAGCGAGCTGCATTCTCACCTGAGCAATATTGGTCCAGAAAGCTATCCATCTTTCCTGCGACTCTTCGTTTGAGTGAGCTACTCTCGCCGAAGCGAGATCACTCCTCGCTTGAGCAAGATCCCTTCTCGCCTGGACGAGCAAACAGTTGGGGTGATCCAATCTATTTTTGCTTGAGCCAAACTAATCTCGCTTGAGTGAGAACACTCTAGAATGCTCAATTCTGCATGACTCAATCTCACTTGGACGAAAATTACCTCGCTTAAGCGAGACACTCTATACGTAGAACTCTTAACAGAGGTAACACAAGTCCTTGACTTCATTCCTTAGGTTATTACACATAATACACTTAATGATATCAAACACAATAACTATTCTGCACTGTAATTGCTCAGCTCTTACATCAAAATCATACATTTTTCATATTCATATTCCAACATGTGAAAATCCATACACTTTAAGCATACACAACATAATTCAAACAAAATAATACATATGTAAAATACATTGATCTAACATAAATCATGCCATATTTATTTTATTTTACCATTTTGTAGTTATCTAAATCAACATGCAATTTATAAAGGATGTGGATCATTTGTATGGATTTCTTGACCCTATTCAAATTCAGGGCTTAGGAAACAAGCCTGAATCTATTCAATCATATATTCATAAGAGGTTGTGCGAAGGAAGGAAGCATTGCTACCTTGCACCCTTTCATTATGGGTATGTTTTTACAAATTAGTCTTGTTATATAATTAGTTTTACAGTTGCTAATGTGGTCAATTTGGTTTATAGGCAATATTGGCAATTGTTTATCATTTGTCCAAAAAGTAAAGTCATTTTCTTATATTTGTTATGGAATAAGCCTAAAAAAGAAATCAAGGCCATAATTGATTTGTAAGTCATCTTCACATGTATTCAATTTGTTTAACTTATTTACATGAGCATGAATATTTACCTAACTCACTCGTTTGTGGTAATATTCATCATGATTAGATCTATAGAAGCATGTAAGTTGTTAGAGGGTAGGCATGTGAATAAAAAAAAAGGTTACATGGATCTGTCCACGTGAATGTTCACCTCAGACTTACGATTACTTACTTATTTTTTTCATTTCTATTTCTTATTTGATATTAAATATTTTTTATTCTTCTAGTCACACAAATAAAAGGAGAGTTAGGAGTGTGGATATTATGTCATAAGGCCTATGCTAACTGTCGTCACAGCCAACATTATAGAATCTTGGTCTTTGGTAAGTTTTGATCCAATCCCTGAAGAGAAGATTAAAGAAATCAAAATATGCTAAGCACAGTTTATTTTAGATTATAGTTCAATTTCTTTGTAAACATTGGATTGATTAAAATTGATTTATATATATCAAATTATTTCTTTTATATATAATAAAATGTGAATTTTCTCAATCTGAAACTGTGTGATATTTTTCTATATTTCAGGTTATGTAGATATTTATTAAATAAAAAGTATATTTAAAAAAATGTATATTTTTTATATCAGTTATGGTTACAATCAATGTAGAAAGTATACTTTCTACAATGGTTATAATGAGAACCGTAAATCCTAAACTCTCTACATCAATTTTGGACATAATTACAGTAGAAAATATACTTTCTACAACGGTTATAATTAGAACTAATGTAGAAAAAGTATATATTCTATATCAATTCTTAACAAAATTGATGTAGAAAGTATATTTTCTACATCGATTTTATAGGTAACCGATTTAGAATATGTTTTTTCGACAATCGATGTAGAATATCACCATTTACTATATTAGTTGTATCTATATCAATATAATAATCAATATAGAAAGCTACTTTTAACTGACATAAAATATCATTTTTGTACTGGTACAAGAACATCTTGATTGAATTGTTTAAACAAAAAATGTGTAATAAATTAAAATAAAAAAAGAGATTTTTGTCCAAAAATTAATTTAAAAGAAACGAAAAAAAATTTGATAAAAATTAAATAAAAAGAACTTAGGTATATAGTTTAACTTATTATATCTTTCTATATATTTTTTTAATTTAATTCTAATATTAATTTCTTTAATGTTTACCATTCATCCATATTTATTTTATAAAAAAAATATCAATAGACTAAAATCAAATCGTGATACTAATTATATTAATACTGTCATCAAGGTCACGAAAGTTGACTCGAATGTATATTCATTCTTCTCGAAACACATTTAATCACATTGCCCTGTGCAATAGGAGTAAATCAAACACAGGTAAGGGTACAGATGATACAAAATAGGAATACAAACGTGAGTTTAGTGTAAGTACCATCCTTGATATTGTCCAAATAATATTTATACTCATTTGAGTTTAGTGCGATGCACCATTATGGTGTGAAATAGGATTTTTTGAAACAAGATTCGCTGTTATTGCACTGTCACTGTCTGTTTACTCAAAGAAATTTGCAGGAAAGAGCATTTATTGCTTGGATCGGTGGCAGGAAAAAAGTCCCTTCTTAAATTAATATATGACCTTTTGGAACACGTAAGGGTACTTGTTTAATTAATAGTAACTGTTGCCTCAATAGTTATCAAAATTATTTTTTAAAAATAATTATTTGTAATATAAATATATTTTTATTAAAAATTAGATATGATTTAATATATTAATAATTATATGTTAAATATTAGTTAAACTATTTTTTAAAAAAAATATAACATTTTTTTGGTAAATCTATAAATTATTTCACTTTTTTCTTAATTTTATTATATTTATTTCTTTATTTAATTAAATTTATTCATTCTTATTTATAAAATATATAATATGAATTTGTTAAATTCTTATATAAGAAATATTTTTATGACAATCTTCTAATAATTATTCTTATTATTTAAAATTTATATTAGTGTACTCATTTTTTATTTTTTTCATAGTATGTATTTGTATATAAAAATGAAAATAAGTTAAGTTAAGTTAGACTTTGCATAAAAAAATATTAACATTGCATGATCATTAGATGTTAATAAATTAAGTACGAGTGGTTAGTAAACATTAAAGAAATTGACATTAGAATGAAACTAAAGAAATTATAGAAAGATCTAATAAGTGAAACCATACGTCGTAGGCTCACTTCATCTAATCTTTGTCAATATCTCTTTTGTTTTCTTTAAATCACTTTTTAAATTTAAACTCTTTTTTATTTTAATTCATTACACACTCTTTTTGTTTAAACAATTAAATCAAGATATTCTTAGTACTTGAAAATATTACTTTTTGACGGATACACTTGCCCATGAACATAAGACTATATTTTTTTTACTAGTTTTTTCGCTTAAGCAAAAATAACCCTCGCTCAAATAAGAATTGGCTCGTCTAAGCAAAAAATTTTACAACAGACTTTGCTCTCTGGCTTTTTTTGCTTGAGTGAGAATCTGGGTGAGAAATGGTGCCTGAGTGAGAATTAGAGCAAGAAGATATGCAATCTCGGGTTGTTTTTTGGTTGAGCAAGAATTCACTTAGATAAAAAAATTCAACTTGAAAAGGGAGGATCAAAGCGGGCTTTGAATCCCTAACACACAATGACCTAATTTCGCATTGCAAAGTAGTGGAGAAGCTTGGAAAGTGATCAAGAACCATTGGAAAAAGTAATCTCTATCACTTTTCCTTGTATTTTCTTATTGTAATGTATGTCATGAATGGTTAGAACTCTAAGAATTTGATGTAATCTTCATACTCTTAATGTTTTAGTATTTTTAATATATGTTTGTTCATTTGTCATAAGTTAGGTGTGTTTATTTTGATATTAATGCTTGTTTTTACCCTACAAGAAATTATTTATGATCCAAAAATCTGAGTTGAGTTAGGAAACTACCTTAGAACCTAGTTGGGTTAAATACATGCAATAGATTGGGACTCTAGGAATGAATTTTAATCTATTATATGCTATATAACTCTTATTAGTAATGCTAGATTATTTATTATTTAGGTAAGGAATTATCTCTCAATAAATATATCTTTCAATTTCGAGTGAGAGTAATACAACAAACAAATATAACTAGAGTGCATCGTAGAATTTTGATAATTGTTAATATGTGTTAGAATTAAAATATGAAGAGGATGAAAGATGAAATATAGTTTTCAATCTTATCATAGTAGTTTAATTTATTTTTATTGTATTTTTATTTATTTTCTATAAATTAAATTATAAAAATTTAAAATATTATTTAGTTGTATATTTATGAATATTTAAGAATTTATTAATTTTAAATTAGATAGTTGCTTGAGTTTACACGTATCTTGTGACACGACAATCCTTTATATAAGCTTCGTAAGTAGACCTGCTGATTACACGAAGTCCCCTTTCTCCCCAAGTAATCTAAATTCCCGCCCATTATCTCTAAGTCTAGCCATGTCCACACCCACCAATCTTATTGATTTTTTGGTCAACCAAGCCAATGGTGTAAAGGGTCTTGCTGATCTCAACCTCCCAAAGGTTCCTCACCAGTACATCCAACCTCTTGAGGGAAGATTACACAGCACCAAAATTGTCCCTAATGAATCAATACCCATCATTGATTTCACAAACTGGGATGACCCAGATGTCCAGGACTCAATTTTTGATGCTGCATCCAAGTGGGGTTTCTTCCAAATCGTGAATCATGGGATACCCATTAAGGTCTTTGATGATCTAAAAGCTGCTGCGCACAGGTTTTTTGAATTGCCAGCTGAGGAGAAGAAGAATCTAAAAGAGAACTCGCCCCCTGATGTTGTGAGATTGACTTCCAGTTTTAGCCCTCATGCTGAGTCAGTGTTGGAGTGGAAGGATTATCTGCAACTTGTGTATGCTTCTGAGGAGAAAATTCGTGCATATTGGCCTTCTATATGCAAGTTAGTGATAATTTTCATCATCTATGATTTGCTTTGTGCATTACCTGATTTGATAGCAGAGTAAACCGTCAAATTAGTTCTTGAAATTATATTATAGTCAGAATATCAAAACTTTTTGTTAATTCTTAACTTTACAAACCCATTTGCACTTACTCCCTTTTGGTATAAAACGACGGTGGAAAATAAAGTAGAAAAGGCTCAAATAAATGAGCAAAGTCAAGGACTAAAGAGATTTCTAAACTCTCACTAATATGAATATATGATAATTGCTATTAATCTTTTTTCGTAGGGATGAAGCACTAGAATATATGAAACATTCTGAAGCCTTGATTAGAAAACTGTTAAAGGTGCTTCTGAAGAAATTGAATGTGGAGGATTTAGACAAAGCAAGAGAACACACTTTAATGAGTGCAAATACATTGAGTTTTAACTACTACCCTGCTTGCCCTGAGCCTGAATTTGTAGCAGGGGTAGGTCCTCATTCTGATATATCATCAATTACTGTCCTTCTGCAAGATGATATTGGTGGGCTTTATGTAAGAGACAGTGATGGTGATAATTGGATCTATGTTCCTCCTGTTGAGGGAGCGCTGGTAATCAACATTGGAGATGTGTTACAGATAATGAGCAATGGAAGATACAAAAGCATAGAGCATCGAGTGGTTGCCAACAGAAGCAATGCCAGGATCTCTATTCCAATTTTTGTCAGCGCAGCTTCTGATGCTACTATTGGCCCTTTGCCAGAAGTGCTGGAGAATGGAGATGAACCTAAATACAAACAAGTTGCATTCTCTGACTACTTCAACTATTTCTTTAGCAAGGGTCATGATGGGAAGAAAACTATTGAATTTGCCATGATATGATTTGTGCTTATGGTATGCATGGGTGGCATGCTACGTTGAAGCAGAATATGCATGTACTTGTACTTGGTTGAACTGAAAGATAATCATAATTATGTAATCAAGTTAATATAATCATAAGCCATGGCTCATTTTCAATATAATGAAAATGATAAGCCATGGCTCCTTTTCATGATAATTAAAATTATGTAATAAAGTTACTTATTAATGAATCCTTTTGTGTCGTGTTTACAAAACTTTCATACGATTCATTGCATTTGATTCCAACATATATGTATATAAGTAAGATAGCTTAAGCATTTTAGACAAAATAAGCAACAATAGAAAATATAATTTCGAGAGTAACACACTCAAGTTTGATATTAACGAATTGACAAGACCAACCTGCTTCTACCACCAAACCGACACATGAGCAACAATAGAAAATAAGGTTGATGCATTCTTCTTCTAACCCATGCATAAGTTAAGTAAGAAAAGAAAAAGAAAAAGTGAATTGTGTTATTTTTGTAATTGTATCCCCAGTTATATAAATAAAATTCAAAAGAAGAATGCATTCTTATTATAAATTTGTTTCATTGATACATGTCATTCTCGAGAAAACAAGGTCTATAATTTTCAAAATCCCTTCCGTAACACTTGTTGGTATTCTTCAAATAACCAATGATTGTATCGATGGGTAAGCAACAATTTTAAAAGTTGAGTGACAATGTACATAATTTTCAAAAATCCATTAATATTCTTTAAATTACCAACATGTATGCAAAATTTCTAAATGTTGAGTGCTAACCTACAGAAAAATAGATAAAATTAATTAATCGGATACTCGTTCGTACGACCGTCATTAATTTAAGTTAAAATTTAAAATTTAAATACCTATTATTACGCTCATAAGTAGATGTATGCACATTATCGTTTTTCTCTTTTTCTTATTCTAGGAATTTACATTTTTACCCTTTATTAAAATATAATATCATTCTAACAAAAACCGTGGAATACACATCTAAACTGTGTGTACTATTTTACACTCATAATAATCATTCGTTGTTTTCGAATTAGATCAACGATCAAAAACAATTTCCTTTTAAAAATTAGGGAGAATGTAAGAATAGCCTATTTTGTCTCGCAGTTCCTCCTTCTCCTATTGATTTGTAAACATATGAAAACCAATAAACTATCGTGTGTTATTACATATCCACGAGTTCTTTCTAAATATCTCTCGTCCGAAAGTTTTATTTATGATATTTATACATTCCTGTTGACTTACTGAGTTCTTTCTAAATAGCTCTCTTCTGAAAGTTTTAATTGACATTTATTCATTTCTTCCCGACTAAAAGTAAGTATACTGCACATTTTTCTCTTTCAAAACATCATGTGCTTCTTTTTACAATAAAAATTTGCAGAATGCAAATAAACTAATTCAAGAGCAATTTAAGAATTTAGTTTATTTTAAGTGTGTCATAATTGAAATAATTGAATCAAATATCGTAAAGCATAAAAATTGACTGACAATGACAGTAATAGAACAATGAAACCAGTATTGAAATGAATGTAAAAGGATTACAAAAGCAAATAGTGGGTGAGTTAACTTGCAGAAAGTAAATTGCAAAAAATAAATGGATGAAATATATAACCTATGAATCTTCACAATGAACAATAGGAATTGTAAATCATCTGATTGTCAGTATCTGTCTAAGTGCAAAGCTTTCAGTAGAGAATTTTAGGTATTGATGTTTGGTGTAAAAAGCCATCTCCTGAAAATATGAAGGTTCATATTATTCATAAATGAGTGAACCATCACCGCTCTCCTATTTTCTTAGGCATTTCTCAGTAATTGCCTTATGTGCATGCTTCCGCTTAGTTGCCATCACCCACTATCTATAACTGCTCATGATCATGCCTTCTCCATAACTATTTTCACCTACAATTTTTTGAACTTAAATTTTTTACACGTCCTTGACTTGTCATGATGTAGGGATCTATGATTCTAATAGAAAGATATATCTATGCCACTGATCTTTCAAGTGTGTTTCTCTTTGGAAAGACATAGTTTATTTTCTATCATAAAAATTTAGTTAAGATCTTTGTAACGTAGAAATTTTTTCTTTCTCTAAACAGCATCTCAAAGTTTCTAATCAACAGTATTATATTAAAAAAAAGGAAAAAGAAAAACATATTTGTGCATACACCATAACTCAGGAAAAAGTCCTTAGTTTGCTAATACACTATCAGATGAATAGCGTACGCTATATTTTATCTGTGCATAGTTTGATAAAATGATATATCTACTACAATTAACTATACGAATTTCAAACAAAATAAAATTATAATATTTATAAAATAAGTATCAACCAAGTAAATTAAAATGTTCATTTCGTAAATCCCTTTTAAAGATTTATTTTTTTTCCTAATTTTAAGATAATTGATACTCACCAACTATTTTAGGAGCACTGATGTTCTCCTTTATTTTTAATTCACGCTTGTTGCTGTATTATAAATCCACCTTTAAAAGAAAGTATTGTTGAAAAAGTTATTTAAAGATTTGACTATAAAATTAGTCTTTTAAATATTTAAACTGTTAGTATATTAATTTTTTTTAACATTTTGTCACCAAATTATTTCTTCAAAAAATTAAAATCTTACATGTTAGTCCGGAAAGATATAAAATAGTGAAAAAAGAGTTTAATTAACTTAATGATAATTAATTTTTTTTTAAAATGACTTAAAATTTTACTAAATTAATCCTTATAGAGGACTAAAGTGATGATAAAAGGATTGAATGACAAAAAATTTCAGAGGACTAATGTGGAAATTCTTGAAAGATTAATATAGTGACTCAAATCCTTAAAGTTGTTATTTGATTACACTTTTATCTTCAGTAAACTACATTAAAGATTTTCTATTGAAAACATTCATAGAACAGCTGATACTCGTTTACTAACCTAATCGAAATGTCTCTGCTCATACTTTGTCATTTCCTTTCCTTTTCTTTTCTTTTTTTATAACAAGAGCAGTTTTAGACACGAACGCTAAAACAATTTTTGAACTATCAAATGAGATACCTAAAGATGTCTCTTTGTAAGTGGAATATATGCTTTAAATATGTGCATATAAAAAAGCTAAAAATGGATAAAATAATATACGGTGCTATTTTTAATAGTATAAACAACGATACTCCTAATATTTCGTCTAATTTTTTCATTTATGATCTCCTCTCTTTTTCTACTTAGCTTCATTGTGTTTGTGTTCATAGTGCAAGTTTATTTATCTAAAATTACTTTTTTTAAACAACCATTAATACGTCTAATGGATACAACCAAATATAAACAAAATAGAGTGTGATTACGGAAAAGAAAAATAGAATGTAAAATATATCTGTCACGACATTGAACATAAACTAGCTGTTTTTCCAGAAGGCGAAGACAAGCAACACCGAAGCAAGTTCGTATGCAGCTGTAAAATTAAGTAATTCTAAATTTGGTATCCTTGATAAGGTTGCACCTTGCTGCTTTCCTTGATCTAGTTAGTAAAGCCCCTTTATTCTATTCTTAAGCTAATGTGCTTCGTTTTCTTTCCATTTAGGCATGTTCGAATACATCGTTATATATAATGCATGAATATACGTCTAAACTCCAAAAGCTATTCTGTTTAGTGTTAACGAGCGTTCAAACTGAAAAAACCCATTAAAACCAAACACAGTTTTTAATTCATTTTGTTAGTTGTGATCTTGTTCAATTCTGTGACCAAAATATGAACCCAACCGAGACAATCTTCAATTCAGCAACATTTTTGACGAGCATTGATTCAGACCGACATCAGGTATACAATGTGTGCCTCAATCAACCAATGCATATAATATCAGATGGCCTGTGGGCTCACGAAGCTGGTGCAATACCTTCACAATCTGCATTTACAATGCTTGAGTTGCAAATAATTGCCATTTTCGCTGTCACCCAAGGCTTTCATTTCATTTTCAAGCGCTTAGGGTTACCTTATTTCGTTTCACAAGTAATGGTATGCATCTTTCTTCTATGGTCATTTTTTTTTTCTTTCTTGATTTGCTAGTTTTAATTTCTCATTCCTAGCCTCCTTTGAATTTTGCTATTGGATAGATATATTATTATGACCAAATAGAAAACATGTTTAATTACTTTTGTGTATGCATAAGCAAATCGCTAAACTCACGTCATTCCCTATAATTATAACACACGACAATGTCAAGTTTTTAAGGAAATTAAAATAATCATCTTTCACGTAGTCCAGATTGCTATATTTTCGACAAATTTTTTTTTTTTTTATAGTTTGTATAGGTTTAAAAGATAATAAAATAAGTAGTTATTATTTTAAGATAAATTGAACTAAATAAACATTAAAAATAAAATAAAAAGAGATCCCATGATTTCTCTTCCTTTTCTTTTTGTATTTTATCAAAATGCTCGACTATCTTGATATTTAGAGATATTAAAAGCTGAAAAATAAGTTAAAACGAGTTATTCCAAACCAGCCAGATTAGGCTTTGAACTCTATAGGTCAAGTTAAAACACTTGTTTCTTATTTAAGTTAGGAAATAAAAGCTCAAATCTGACCCAAATTTGTATTTTATATCTTGATAAATCAGACTAATTCAAATCTAATTAAAGAAATTTCTATAAGAGACTAGAAAAAAAAGACTCAAAACTAATTTAGTCATAAATTAAAGTTTAATCCTTAAATTTTGGCAGTAATTAACCTATGTTATCAGGTCAACCCATAGATTAGATGGTTATAACTTATGGTGTTTGTTTTTTTTCTTTTTCCTTTTTTCATTTCATATTAACACAGATGTAAATATGTTGTCTTGAATCAACTATCCTAGAGATATAGCAAGTGACTTTATCGTGAAGAAGGGTACGATAATAAGCATGAGCTAATTAAATCCAAATTTGCAATATTTCTTCAGGCTGGGTTTCTTCTAGGCCCATCAATTCATACAGGACCAATGGAAAAGTACAAACAACAGTTATTCCCATTTGGGGGTCCAGACATACTGAACACAGTATCATCACTTGGCTACTGTTTTTATCTCTTTCTAAACTCAGTGCAAATGGACTTAACCTTGATCACAAAAACAGGCAAAAAAGCATGGGTCATTGCACTAACCTCCTATTTCGCTCCCATAATTGTTGGCTACACAGTCATGTTCTCGTTCTATTCCTTGTGGACAAAAATCCTTGGAGCTCATGATACAGGAGGGTTGGCTGTGGTGTTTATTTCTCACAGTTCTTGCTCCTTTGCTGTGATTTCCTCCATGCTTAACGAACTCGGAATTCTCAACTCTGAACTTGGACGCCTTGCACTCTCCTCAGCTTTTGTCAATGACATAACAGGTAATAATTCAAAGGGAAAATATATCGGTGCTTGGCCTTGCTTCTTATACACTCATCAACTTTTTTCTTTTTAATTTTTTTAATGAAAAATTAGTTTAAATATATTTTATCTTTAAATTTGTGTTTTCTTAATACCATAAGATTGAATTGAAACATACAAAAATTCAGTGTTATTACATTTTTATATTTTTACACGATAAAATACTTAATTTTTTAATTAAAAAATATTATTTAACTTTCTAATATAAGATGTATATACAGTGAGTGAGAATTTATATTTACAAAATATTTTAATTTAAATTTACAGTGAATAAACTCTTTTTGTCTTTGTGAGTAAAGTGAATAGATTGTAAACATTTCACTTTACATTTTTTGTACTTTTAGAAAAGTCAAATTTATTTATTTATTAGTTAATCCTTTTTTAAATTTGATTCATTTATAACTTTTAAAGTTAAAAAACCCTTCTACTTTCAATTATTAATAAGAAACTTAAAATGTACCATCTTTGTTAAATGTAAAGATAGAAATGGGTAAGAATAGCATCAAACTAATAATTGATATAGCTTGTTTAGGTATTTGTCATGCAAGAACAAAATAATGACAAAGACTATGTTCAAATCTTTTAAATTTTATGTACCATAAAAAGCACCTTTTAAATTTTATGAAAATTAAAATAAAAAAATAAATGACTAAAATCAAATTTAGTCATATTTGCATAAGCTAAAAGCATATTTAGCAAAGAAATATAGTTAAATAAAAACTAAAACAAAAATTAACATATTTTTAAAAGTTAAAAGTATATTTTAAATAGAAAATTAGAATTTTATAATTTAGTAATATAATTAATCATATTAACATTTGTTTACATATTTTTGTCCTATCCTTTGTATGTGATTTGTATTGGATTGGTCCTTATCAGGTGGAATCGGGGCAGGAATCGGCGCTGCCATTGTGAGCAGCATGCATATTGATATATATTTCCTTGTTAGAAACTTGGTAGCATTTCTGGCTTTCATATTCGTAATTCCACTAATTGGGCGTCCAATAATGAGATGGGTTGTGAAGAACACCCCAGAGGGTAGACCCGTGAATAAGATATATATTTACGTCATCATAGTGGTGTTTTTGATGTTGGGACACTTTACAAGGTATTTCAACCAACCTTTCGTAGCGGCTGCGGTTATATTTGGCCTTGCTGTTCCTGAAGGTCCTCCTTTGGGGTCTGAATTGGTTTACCAACTTGAGTTGTTCTCGACGTGGTTCTTGTCCTCAATCTTTGTCACATGTTGTATAATGAAAGTGGATCTTAACGAATGTGGCCCTCTCGATGAGATTCTCATCTTATCATGCTTCGTTTTTGTGGTGCACGTTGTTAAAATGATAGTGTGCATGGGAATTTGCCGCTCTTGTAGCATGCCCACTACTGATGGCTTCTGCCTTGCTCTCATTATGAGCTGCAAAGGTAGTGTTGATATATGCTCCTACATCCTAATCTACGATGCAGTGGTAAGCATTCAATCACTCATGCATTTTGTTTTATATTAAAGAATATGTAGTTAGTGAGTCACAGAAGTTCAATTTGAGTGGGACAGTGTGTTGCTGTGTTGCTAGCATTCCTCTGGTGTGTAAATGTATGAATATTGTTGTGAAATTGAATTTATCTCACTTTTTAATATAGATGTATACGAGGAGGGGGTAAGACGTAAACACATTAGATGCCAAAATATCATGTTTCTTTGTTCACGTGCTTAACAAATTAATTTAAATCACTAAATTGATACTGAATGTAACATATTTAATTATTTTTATCTTTCACTTATTTTTCTTTTCTGTCAATCTAAAAATATACCTCATTCTACGTAATAAAAACATTTCCCTAACTAATTATAACCACAATTCAACTATTGCAGGGGCAAAGCAAAACAACAATAGGAGTTATGGTTGTCTCGGTGTTGGTCCTAGGATCGGCTTCGAGGCTTGGAGTGAAGTTTTTGTATGACCCTTCAAGGAAATACGCAGGTTATCAGAAAAGGAACATCATGAACTTGAAACATAACTCTGAGCTTCGTGTAGTTGCATGCATCCACAAGCCATACCACACGGTTCACGTAAGGAATGTGCTACAGCTTTGTTCCCCAGCACCAGAGAACACACTAGTGGCTGATGTTTTGCATCTCATGGAGCTAGTTGGAAGGTCCACTCCCATTTTCATAGCACACAAGATTCAGCAAAGTGTTGGGTCCTCCTACAATTACTCTGGTGAAGTCATTGTAACCTTCGATCTTTTTGAACGTGATTATGCTGGTTCTGCCACAGCCAACACTTACACAGCCATATCCCCAGTCACACTAATGCATGAAGATGTTTGCCACCTCGCATTGGACAAAAATGCATCACTTATAATTCTTCCATTTCATATAAAATGGGGTGGTGATGGTTCAATTGAATCAGATGATATCAACATAAGGTCACTTAATTCTACGGTTTTGGAAAGGGCACCTTGCTCTATTGGGATTCTTGTGAACCGTGGCTCTTCTGGCTTCAATTCAACTAGTTACAATGTGGCCATGGTTTTCTTGGGTGGACCTGATGATAGAGAAGCTTTGTGCTTAGCTAAGAGGTTTGCCAAAAATATTGATAATAAGTTGTTTGTTTATAGGTTGCTTGCACATGACCATGACTCTACGAATTGGGAACATATGATTGATGATGAGGAGTTAAGAGAGGTGCGTGGAGCTTATGTTAAGCTAGAAAATGTGACATATGAAGAAAGGACTATAGATGATGCATCCCAGACAACAAATTTCATCAAAGATATTGCTACTAAGTTTGATTTTATTGTAGTTGGGAGAAGAAATGGGGTCAGAACTTCTCAGACTTCTGGGTTGGAAAACTGGACTGAATATACTGAGTTGGGGGTGATTGGTGATTTGCTTGCTTCAACGGATATGGAGACCAAGGCTTCAATTTTAGTTGTGCAACAACAAACGACATCTGCGTCATGATCAAATATACTTGTTGGCATGATGGGATTTTTGTTATTTTGAATTTTTTTACCTTTTATTTTTATATTTTCAGGGTTTGCCTGTTTGTACATGTATTACGGAGCTGTACCAAAATTGAAAAACTTTCTTTCCTTTTTAAAAAACTCAGGTGAAACGGAGCTTTTCATCTTGGTAGTCACGTAAACAAGGTTGACGAAACTAAACAAACAGGCACGAGTGCCAAGTTTTCATCCATCAATAATTCTATACAAGAAATGATGCGTGTCAAGTCTCTTTTAACAATTGGCACATCACTTTCTGCCACAAGTTCATGCATCCATTTTGGTATAGTAAGAAAGTTACATATAATTGTTATAAAATAAAAAGTCACAAGTTGGTATTAGTAACAAATTAATTAAAAGAAATATAAGTATGAAAGTCATAAGTTTAAATTCTGAAGAATTTTTAGATAAACAGATGACTCAAACTCAAAATCTACGGCCTTCTCACGCTCTTGGATCATATCCACCGTCATAATTTTAGTAATATAACAAGGATTATAAATTTTAGTTGCAATTAGGCTAGTCTTTGCGTGATCAGATGGGTTAATTGCGATTAGTGCAGTCCACAATCAGAACATAACTACATGAAATGATGGGTGTCGAGTCTCTTCTAGCTAGTAGATCACTTTCTGCCACAAGTTCAAGCACCCATATTAGCGTAGTTAAAATGTTTAGACATAATAAAAGGTTTTAAATTGCAATTGCAGGTGATGCAGTCTATAATTCTAGTTTGATGTAGCGTTTTATTGTAGTTATATCACGATCTTCAATATTTTACAAAACTGTAGATAGATGCAGCCAACGCAACCACAACTGTAGTAGCAATGCAATTGTAAAGACCACAAAAACCTTACTATTACAATTGCAAGCTGCATCATGTGATACAGCATGTTGCTTAGAACGTTGTGTTTGGCATACTCTGTGTATCTTAATGTAATGTAATTCTCGCAATGAATTTTGAGATTATAGCAAGGCCTTGGATGGATATTTGTAAATAACATTGTACTCAGGAAAAGATATTAGAAATAGAATCAAGATGAATGGTTATCGTAACATAATTAAAAGTTCAAGGTGTCCTGAACTACCCCACAAACGAAGCGCAGTGCTGTTCAAAAGAAAGCTGGTAACCATCCAATAAAAAAGAACCCCACGTACATTCCGAATCTCTCTCTTGTCAAAATGCGTGAAAAGCTTGAATTTTCAAACACCAACTTAATGTTTTGCCTAAAAATGGTATTCTAGACGTAGCCAAAAGCACTCTGCAATGTTCTGTTGGAGCAATCTTTCCATCAAGTGCAGGGTATTATGAATGTTCTCAAAGTCCCATATTGGGCATAATTTAGAAGAAAACAAATGTTATAAACACGTGAGAAAAGTCACTACTTGTCGAGCTAGTTAACGTTGGCTTGTGACCCAAGTGGGGGCATTAATCTTGTAGAACAAGGCTTATAGTCTAACCAGGTTGGGCTTAGAGGGTGCAAAATGGTGGCGTGCCCATCCAAGTTGGGAGTTGGGTCCTATGTGTCATGGGCGAAAGCCCAAGTCACGTGGCTCTTAGAGCGGAAGGCAAAGCGTGAGGCTGGCTTCACAGAGCAGCGATCACTTCCCTCTCTCAACAGTGGAAGGATCACATGTTCCTGCACGCCTAGCCCTCACGTGCCTGGTCAGCTAAGTCCAATTGAACCATCAAATTTTTTAACAAAATGCCAATCAAAGCATTAAATCATGAGCTTCCCTAAATTACGATGCAGGTAGGGTGGTCAAGTAGTAAAAACATAAAAAATGTAGAAACAATACAAAATTTCTGAAAATGATGTTACATTTATTAACAATAAATGTGTGTGAATAATTCTTCCATTTTTTTCTCCAACAAAAAAAAGGAGAATACCTTGCAGAGAACAAGGCCAATAAAAATCAACGCAATTGCTCATTCCCAAAGATTAACTGAACTTATAGAGGGGACCACAACCTTAGATTCCCCCTATCCTATGAACCCAACCCTCATACGCATTTGTCTGCTGGTCACACTACACTCCCAAGTCCAAACAAAAGATGCCAACCTAGCACTCCACACCCACATAGGCGGCGCGTCGATAAACCTCCGGCAAATCTGCCCCTTTACTCCACTCTCCGGCGACACAATCATACACCAAAACAAACCCTTCTCTCAAGCCCCTCATTTCATTCAAGTTTCCAGCCATTTGAATCAACACCACCTTATCTCCCATCCCCACACAGCTAAACCTCATCCTCGTGTCCACTCTAACTTGCGACGGTAGCGGTGGGCTCTTAATCCTACACCACTCTCCAAATACACCACGGCCACGGCCACCGCATTTTCTCCGTGCTTCAAAACTCCAAAACGAAAGCTCCACCGCGTGACTGGTCAACACATACACGCGCCCAGCTGCAGCACATGCGGCCACCACGCAGCCTCCTCCGGGTACCGTCCTGCTCCGGAGCCACACGCGCGTCTCCACATCAAACAAATCCATGGAACTCGCGTATGCCGCATGAGCCTCGGCTCCTCCAGTGGCGCGTGAGAACACGCTCTGCTCGGAGGCGCCAATTCTCAACCCACCAATCACGTAAAACACGCCCTCAACTGAGGCTCCAATGCAACCGTACCTCCTCCTCGGCGCGTGAGATATCACGCTCCAAGCATCAGCTACAGGATCATATTCTTCAACTGCGGTGGTTTTTGAACCACCGCCGGCGACGTATATTTTCCCGGTGACGGCGGCCAATGCGAATTTTTTGCGCGGGAAAATCATGGACGAGCGCGGGGTTACGGTGGCGGTCCACGTGTCGTATTGCAACGTGGCACTCCTTCCGACGACGAAAATCCTCGGACCAATCGAAGCCACGCGCGCGTGGGAGAGTAAGGAGTGGAAGTTGTCGAGGGAAACGGCGTCATAGCAGGGGACGAAGAGGGAGGCATTCCACGCGCCGTCGAGGAGCGTGGCAGCGGAGAGGCCGAGGTCGGAGGCGGCGAGTGCAAAGGTGGTGTGGCGGAGTAGACGGCGGCGGCGGCGGAGGTAAGAGAAGTCGGGGGAGCGGAGGAGGTCGGACCAGCGGCGACAGACGAGGGACAGTGCGGGAAGAGAAGAGGGGGGAACGCGGGAGAGGCAGTCCAAAACGATGTCGTCGGGGAGGGAGGATATGGTGGTTGCGGGCGTAGGTGAAGTAGGGGGTCGTTGCGGTTGCAGCGTGTGTTTAATTACGGTGGCGTCGTGAGTGTTGGGGAAACATGACTTCACGAGCCATGTGAAGTGCCGAGAGTTGCAGCTTTCTCTCTCTCTATCCGAACCCATTAGAGAGAAAGTGTGTTAGAGAGAGAGAGCCAATGAGAACGCAGATAGTGCTAAAAATAGTGGCTCTTTGCATTCGTTTGCATGATTTGTGTGTGTCACATAACGTTACCTGGAAGATAAAGTGAAGGTGCGGTTTACAACCGTTGATCTGTGACTTTCTTTCTCTTTTTTTTGGGTGGCGAAGGATGTGGAACGTTTGATTTTATCATACGTTATATTCGATGGAAAAATAGGTTTGCAAAAGTATAATTTAGGTATTACCCTGCACTGATGCTTTTTCAATCTTTTATAAGGTGTGTCGAGTAACGTGACGAAGAATTAATCAATGATATTCTTTATTAAAAAAATGTAATATTTAATGTTTTGGAGTTTTGTTAACTAGTGTTTTAAAAAGCACCGATTAAAGAATCACTAAATAATAAAGTTTTAATAAAATTTATGTTAAAATGTACTAAAAATTATAAATATATATATATATATATATGTTTTTAAAAAATATATATATTTTTTATCTAGTGTCTTAAATACACTTGTTAGCAATTTATATTGTTTTGTAATATAATTTAATTTGTTTAGAAATGCATGCGAAATGTGTTTAATTCCTGAAATTGCAAGGTAAGTTTTTTATTTTGATTTTAATTTTCAAGTCTACCACGCAGATACTCTATGACAAACAGATCCAATTTTAGTGGCTTAATATAACTTACAGATTCAACGCAAAGATAAAAAATTATCATAGACAATAATGATTTTGAGCATTTTGCATGATTTGCTTGTTGTTTCACTAGTTCTTAGTTGTATTTGTTTCCTTACAATAATGTTTATAGAAAACAAAAAACAAAAATAGTTTCCATACAGGATTAGAATCTAGTTGTACATGTGAACAATTCATCTTTTGATGTTGTTCTCTAGAATGGAGCATGCTACTGACCTACTTGAGTTGAAAGGTTCAACTAAAAGACTGAATTTGATAATGAACTATGATGACTTGAATAATGATATCGTTACATTATGCAGTGCCTCCATGTGACATCTCATAAAGAAACTACAAAACTAGCAATATATCAGCTGCCATGTGGATTTGTCTTCATTTTGAGCATGCATGCATTGCACTGGCATCCAAGGCTTTGACCAAGAGACTTTTCCAGCCACAAGATAAGCCATTTTGAGCTAAAAAAGTTCAGATGAAATTTAGGCTTGGAAAAATTATAGATAGAGACTGATTTCTTAAAATTAACTTGCATTAGGCTTAATCGGATTAGGATAAATTTTTGGACTTTAAATTTAAAGACTAAGATTTTATATTTTATCAAACATGTTTAAGCTAACTAGGGCTATTTTGTCAACTCTACCTTTTACCATCATAATAATTATTTATAAATATTGAGTTTTATTAATTCAACCATTAAATAATATGGTATATTCAAGTTGATGATATATATTAATTTTAAAATGATTTAAAATTTATAGATATGTAATTTATAAAATTTTAAATTATATTATAAATTAAACTAAAGTTGTTCAATGGATTGCTAATTAATTTTTAATTTGTATGATTTTGTAAACTTAATCTATTAAAAAGAACTTATACATATTTAAAACATCTTTCGTAATTTTTTAGATTTAAATACAATTTTATTTCTTGTATAAAATTCACTGTGTTATTCATTCCTTATAAAGAAAGGTTTGTAATGTTCTTACTATCAGATCTATCATAACATTGTTATTTTATATTTAAATATTTTTGTTGCAGAAATCTTTAAATATAATTTTTTTTATTTGAATTCTTGCAAAAAAAAATTACATCGACAGAAAGAAAATAAATGTGTAATGTTTCGGAACAATAAAAAATATATATATACTATGAATAGAGACGAAAAAAAAAAAAAGGTTATATATGGAGACCAACTGAAATAAGTTGAAAGAGATTGGGAAGATTCATAACATGGTACAAAAGATAGTTTTATTTTCTTTAAATAATATTATTGTAACTTAATGTGATTATGAAAATTCTTATAATAAGATAGCATTTGGTAATTGAGTAAAAAGTATTTTGATTATGTGTTTGTACCTTACATTTTTTTAGAAATGGAATATAAAGCTTTTTTAAGTATTTTTTTAAAGCATTTTTAATGTCATATTTTCTTAAAATTTGATTTTTATTTTAGAAATTAGATTTGTATAAACAAATTAAAAAAAATGAAAATGCCTTTTTTCTTTCTCTCAACTCCTTTCCTTTCTTGTTCTGTTTACCTTTTACCTATATTTTTCTTTCAGTTTCATCTTTCTCTTTTTTCTACCTCTTCCATATCTCATTTCCTCTTCTCCCACCTAGCCTTTCACCCATTTCCCTCTTACCCCCACTTAGCCCCCTCTCATTCTCTTTCTCTCTTTCCCTTTCTAACTCTCTCTTGCTCTCCTCCCCAGCCTCTCCCCCCACCCCTTCTTTCTTTCTCTCTTACTTAAGCAAAAAATAATTTTCTTTTTAAGCAAATGTTACTGTCTTAAACAAAAATTACTTTTTTGTATATTTCGCTTAAGTGAGTCAAAATTTACTTGAACAAAGATAAACTGTTAGCTGTGATTTTCACCAAAACTCTAGAAGATTTATATATAATTTTGTTAGTTCTTCTCTTCTTTTTATGTTTTGCTACCTCTTACCCTCCTCAAAGCTCCAAGTCTCCAACTTCTGTGACATTAACTATATGACCTCAATCATGTATCCTCATTTCCTTGCACACTATCTCAACATCAACTCTTCCTTCCCTACAATGTCAACCTATTTACTATGAAAATAACATGTAGTAAACAAATAAATTTAAGAACAATATGGGATTGAATTTTATATCTTGTTAAGTTCTTTTAAGTATATTCTTAACATGATGATCAAATTGACGTCATGTAGCAAAAAATTAAACAAAACAGTAGAAGGATAGTGAAGCAATATTGAGCTAAAGGTAACATACTACAGAAACAAACTAAAAGTAAACTAATTTGTAGAAATGTAGACATACAACTTTGACAATCAACACCAAGAACCGTGCATCTCTTGGTTGCCAATGTTTAACTCAATGCAAAACTTTCAACGTGCAAAGAATTTAGGTGCTAGTATCTAGTACAAAAATTCATCATCTGTAATGTAAAGCTTGCTGTTATTTATAGATAGATGAATCTCAACTATTCTCCTCCTTTCCCAAGCGCCTCTTAATAACTGTCTTCTATGTATGCATGCCTTTTCTTAAGTGTTGCTACCCATGATTGTGCTTTTCTCCATAACCGTTCATAATCGTGTCTTCTCCATAACCATTGTCACACATGATCAACTCTTTGTGTCGCTAATCTCTAACTGGTGGTAACTGGTAACTACTCCATATGTTCATGATCTTCAATTAGTGGTAATCACTAATAATTACTCCATATGTCCACAATATTCTACTAGTGGTAGTCGCTTTAAGTTTTACAGTTTTTTGACACGTTTCTTCACCTTTTGACATCCGCCTTGTTACTTGGACTTAGAATAGTCCCTTTGTCAATTATATTTCAACAAGCTTTAAGCAAAATCTCTCAAAGACTCTTTTTCTTGACTGGTTCTGGATGTTTTAGATTTTGGACTCAAAAATTCCTAAGACTCCTCAAAATATGACCCTTTTTCGTCATAAATGAGACTTTTCTTACAATTCTCAAAACTTCTCAAAATGTGTCATTTTCGTCATGAAATGAAACTCTTCTTATAACCGTACAAATATTTTGAAATATGCTCTTTTCGTCTTGGAGTTAACTTCTTCATCTATTAACATAACAATGTGTCGAAGGGCAATTCCTTTGACAAAATTTCAAGCCTTAGAGATTTTCTCTACACGTTCGTAACTATTCAAAATATAGGCATATGATGTTGTCTTGTTTTTAGTAAAAATGATGTGTCTGTCCATAGTCTTCGAGATGAGCTTATCTTTTCTCAAAAAGGCATAGTCTATTTTCCTACCACAAAGTCTAATAACCTTTGTAACTTAGTAAAAATTTCTTTTTGGCCGCAAACTTCCTCAAAATACAGGAACTCACAGATGTTGACTTTAGTAAAAGGAATGCACTTTTCGAGGTGGTTCACGAAAAACCTGGTTTAACCCCCACCATCTACCAAAGGCTCTAGATCTACCAAAGGCTCTAGTGATGAGGTTTCATAAGTAGAAAATTTTTTCTTTCCTCAAACACAACCTAAGCAAATGGTTAACCTTCTTTGATAGTGGCACTCCCAGTGACATCTATGACTCTTCCTTTTTCGATAACAACTCCTTTGCAATGTTGATGACTCTTTCTTCTTCCTTCTTTTGCCAAGGTTGGCTCCTCCCTCGTCAATTTTGAGAGCTTTGGCCTGGGTTAGTTCTCAATCTTTTGAGACTACAACTTTATTTGCTTGACTACTTAGTTAGTTTGTCTTTAGTTTCTGCTTGCTCTATTTTAACTTTTGGATAGAATGTTGGAAGTGCTAACTTGACTACTCAACTCATTCGTAGTCAGGTTAGTTTAAGTTGGGTAATGGAAAAAAATTACCAAAATTAACTTAACTAAATCCATAAAATTTTGATTAAATGAATATATTTTTATATTAAAATCCATTTAACTCAAGCTATAAACACCTTAGTTATTAAGATAAAACTCTAATTTTGATATTATAATAGTAATTAACACCAAAAACACCTAACGGATTGTATTAATGATTTGTCTATAAAAAAAACAATTTACCATAATTGTACTTAGAATTCAAGCAAACTTAATAATGGATTTTAACATATAAATAAATGAATAAAACTAAAAATGAAGCTTTCACTACTCTTTCACCTTTTCAAGTAAAATAGAATGACTTTGATACTTGAAAATTGGTTCACATTTTCTCTTTTTAATCTCCCATAATGAATTAAATCAAAATATTTTCTATGCCACTCTTAAACGTCATTTCACATAATAATTTTCATAACTTCACTAGGCTACAATAATATTATTTGAAGCGAATAAATCTTTATTTGTAATTTGTAATAAATCAATGACAAGTTTTGTTTGAATACAGATCATCCGCAATTTTTGTGCATTCTGCATTCTGCCGTGCAAAAAATAGAAGATTCGTATTCATTTTGTTTGATGAGTATCTATATACTTCATACTTCTATTTTTAATTTTCATTCCTACATGTAACAAATTTTTTTATTGTTATTCTTATAGATAACACTTTTTGTAAATATTAATCGCTAAAATTTAATTTTTTTTATAAGATCTAAATAAAAAATATGACATGTACAAAGGTTACTAAAAACGATATGTTATATACGGTGACTAACATAAAAAAAATGTTAAATACAATATAATAACGTTATAATTAAAGTTACTAGCAAGAAATATTTTATATTTAAAATATCATTTTCACAATTTTTTTATACATATTAGATAAAAATAATAATAGATTTTTCATAAAAAAATAAAATGTCATTTAAGCCATAAATACTTTAAAAAAACAATTGATAATTTTTCACTTTACTTCGTATTAGTACATGTGTATATGATATTTAAAATACAAATAAATATTCATAAATTAATATCTATTTTTAAATTTTGTAAATTATATCTATATTTATATATATATAGGGAAAGATCTTTCTTACACCGGTATAAGTCTAAAAATTAAAAACTCTTACACTCAATTTGAATCTTTTATTTAACTTATATCTCACGCTAGTAGATAAGTAATAAAATTAAATGAAATATTCAAATTTGGTATGAGTTTTTAAATTCATACTAATGTAAAAGGTTTCTACCCAAAATATATATATATATATATATATATATATATATATATATATAAAAGTTGTAATAATATCAAATTAATCATGGAATAATTTAAGAAAAAAATATTTAAAATAAAATATTATTAAAAATATTATTTTATTAAGCTTTATAATTAATGTCATTTGGTCTGAGGTTCCATTTTTTTTTGTCTACGTATATCTGTGTACGGTTATATGCTCTTTCCAACATTTATTTTAAGAGAAATATTAGTATAACACTATTTATTATATATTTTTACACACTTTTAGTTATTAATTAAAATTTATTAAAAATTAGATAAGTTTCACTTTTCTTTACTCTTAACTTAATATATTTTCTTTTATTTTTATAATTTTTAATAAAATTTAATCAATAATTAAATATGTATTTAAAAAAGTATATTAAAAAATGTGTTCTTAATACTCTTCTTTATTTTAATATGTATGACTTTATTTCTAAAAATAATATTTTAAGATGTTATAATCAGTGACGTTATTTTTTGATAAATTAAAAAATGTGATTAGTTAGACTTTAATAGTTTTAAAAAATGTTTTAAAATCCAAATCATAAAATTAAAAAGAAAGAGTAAAATAGAAGTTATTATAAATTTACAAATTGAGTTATATAATAACTTACGATATTTTCATACAAATATATAGTTAAAAATGAGACGACTTTCTTGAAAATAAAAGATAGTCAAGAATATAATTTTTAAAATTTTTAAATAATAACTCTACAAAGTTTGAATAACATCTGCAGATTATACATGGTTGAGTATAACAATTACATAAATATCTTTTGAATAGAACACATCAATAGCAAAACACTCTACAACAATCCTTTGACAAGATAACACTACATTGGTTTGAATTTGATCATCAATTACATGCTCAAACAAGAACGTGGCTTCAAGAGGGAGGCAAACACCAAACTGCTCTGATATTTACATAAACTCTGATACCACCGTCCATTTCAAGTGTCAACTTGATATCTCAAGAAACATAAATAGCCATAAGAACTCAGAAGTAGTGCTTTTAAGTTCAGCTCCCTTTTACTTAACATTCTAATGGGCCTAAGTAGTAAATAAAAGAACATATACTAATTACTAGCTGCCATTTCTTCATCAATCCTGCCAAAGAAAAGATTAAAGGGTTAAAATTATAGCACAAGCAAAAAAAAAAATTAGAAAAACAGATAACAAACTATTAACTTGCTTAGTTTTTAAAAAAGAAAGTGCTTCAAATTATTCTAAACAAGTTAAAGGAAACAGTTTCAAGAGTGAGTTTTCGAGTTTTGAAAAGCATCCCTTTTCATTTTAAAAATTATTTTCTTTAATATAAGATTCAGACAACAAATTCTTTATTAAATCAATTCTCGGATTTCCAACTAAGCAGAAAAAAAAAAATTGACTAGTTTCTGAAATACCATGTCTATATTGAAACTCTTTCAACTACAAGAATCATAGCAAGGAATGCAGTTTTAGTCAAATTTCTACAAATTAAGGGATAGCAGGCAGTGGTATCGAAGTTCTGCTCTGACTATTAAGTCTCAGATAAAATAAGATATTGCATACAGAGTTTAAAAACTCTACACTGAGGCACAAATGCCAGATAATAATAGTGAGTGAATTGAAATGTAAAATGGTGATGAGTGCAACAATTATTATTGTCAGGATTGGCCATCACACAGATTTAAATGCTGATGCCATCAAAATTTGGCCAGTTAAATCTATTTTTGAAAAGAAATTGTCAATAGCAACAAGCAAAACATGAACGTATATACGCATACACAAGTCTAATAAAGATCAGCTGTTGCTACTTATAATTGAAGGACAAAAATACACATAGAAATGTATAATACACATACACGCAATTTCTGGAGAACAAGCAAAAAACAAATCGAGTAAAAAAGAAGCATAAATTATTGGCAAACCTCATCATCATCTCCACCATCTTCCTTCTTCTTCTTGAGACGGGTAGTACCACCTTCTTTGGTAATGGGCAATTTCATTGCTCCAAAGGGAGTGTCAACATCAATATGTCCTTTAATAGTGTAGCCAGTACCCCTTCCTCTAATCATGTCCCAAAGTGCAGAACCAAAATCCTTAGGCCTGAAGGTAATTGGAACATCAATGTCAGTAATGCCACTTTTCACAAGCTTTGCAGATTTGGCAAGTTCCGCACCTCCAATGCTAACATCACCAAGCCACACCTCATAATCAAGTGCATTGAGGCCAAGGTCAAAGTCATTCTTGTTGTCCAACTTCAAATGAAGAATAGCAACTGTCTCTTCAAAAGAGAACCTCTCAAACTGAATTTTGTCAAGATCAACATCAGGCTTATATGGAACAGGGATTTCTCCAGTTTTTTCCAAAGGTAGAGTGAGCCTTCCAATGACAGGAACATCAACAATGAGATCAACCTTCACCTTATAAGGAATGATGCTTCCAGGTTTAATGTCATCATATGTACTCTTTATGTCATCATAAATCAAAGTAAGAGGAATTTTGACTGTCTCCTCTCCATGTGCATGGATTGTGCCTGAATCCGGTATCAACCCTGAAACTAGCTTCCTTCCATCACTCTCAACCAAGTAGTTTATGTCAATTAGGGGAATTGGTACTGGATTCGGGTTCTTTATGAGTACATCAACAACAAGATCTGCCTTCTCAAGATTAATTGATGGAATGTGTATTCCTGTAACATCTGCTGTTGGCTTCCCAAACCCAATTGTTTCCTCAATCTTCTCACCAATGTCATGAATGAAATCCTTCACTGTATCAAGAAATCCACCCTTCCCATCATCTTCCTTTTGTTTATCATCCTTACTATCCCTTTCTACTGCTTCTGGTTTATCAGATGTCGACATATCTAAATAAGAAATGGTAAAGCAAATTAAGTGAGCAAGATCCAATCACAACAAATCAAAGACAAGAACAAGTAACAAATTAAATTTGTACATCAATAATTTGCAGAACAAACACTGCTACAATCTGGATCACATCACACCCATTAGATATAGACACAAGCAGATTATTCACTGTACAAAGTTTCAGACCTGGGAGAAAACGCTTCATTTTCATTTTTGTTCATAAACAATTACAAACTTCACCTTCATTTACTTTATTTCCTGTTTATAATATTTGCAAAAACTGGTAAAATCATCAAATTGCCTTTATATTACTAATCTTTAAGAACTCGAAACAAAGTAAAAATAAAGGGATATTTTTGTAATTATTTATGACAAAAAGAAATTTACTTTCTTGATCAACAATTTCCAAAATTGCACCAAATGAAGATATAACAAGCTAACATTTTTACTAATGGTCGTTATTTCTCTTTCCCAGTGGATTTCCCAGTGATCAGGATGAGGGGTACCCAGAACACAATATCAACGCTTAATCGATGATCATATTATACCACACCAACAAACAAAATTCCAAAACATTAAAATAGTTCAAAATGCATCCAAAACAAGCATTAAACAAAGAAGGAATTAAGAAGTACCTGTGATCAGGGATAATCGAATTGAAACTTTGAAAAGGATGAAAAGAGGTGCCAATGACATTAAATAAAAAGTAAGATCAAGATTTTGAGAGCCATTAGTCAATCAACGGTCCAGATTCTGCCACAGTATATCTGACCAATGATAACCGTTGATGAAAATTGTACTGTCTTTTCATTTATTTATTTTTTGAATTGGAAAATAAGTTAATGTTTGTTATTATTACTCGATACCGAAGGAGGCGTGGTACGTGTATGGACGATAGTGATGCTGTCACTCAAATCAATGATTGAGTTCGCGCAAAACGACGTCGTTAAGAAAGAGGAGACTTGTGTCCAAATTTGGAACTGGGATTTTTCTATGAAGAATATATAAAATAGATTTGGATATTGCTAACCACTAAGTGCCCCTGATTTTGGTCATTGTTATTTCATTGAAATCATATACTAAATGATTAACAACTTAAAAAAACTATATACTTGAACATGACGCTACGTTTGCATGTGTTGAAATGAGAAAAGCTGAACCGAGATGAAGTAAAATTGAGTTGCAATAGAATACTTCTCTAATTTCGTTCAGCTACATGAAATAAATAAATATATTATATATATAGGATAAAATTTATTCACATTATACTAAATTTTAACTGTAGTGATTAATAATTTAACAATTAAAAAATTATTTTTTTTATACGCTTATACTTTATTACTTTAATTAAATAATAAATAATTTTTTGACTGTTAAATTATTAATTTGTATGGTTAAAATTTAGTATAAATTTTAAAAAATTTACACATGATATCAATAAATCTTAACTCTCTCTATATATATTCAATAAAAATTGCATATTCAAGTTTTATTTTCATATAGCTAAAAAATGAATACAAAATATTACAGTTATTTTTTTTTTTCTAAATTAACTATTTAAAAACAAAACTAATTGTTATAAACAATAAAAAATGATAAATAATTTTATACTTAAAAAATAATATATTAAAAATTTGCATTTTTTATATTATTTTAATTTTTTAATAAGTAAAAAATTGATATAATTTATTTATTTTATACTCTCTTTTTCACTCATCATAGAATTTTTTTTATATATAATTTCCTTTCCTTTTATTTCAATTCAAATAAAATAACATCTCTTCAACTCTATTCCTCATCTTATATTTCTTTTCTCTCTATTTCACCCATCACCAAAACATTCCATGAAAGTTTTATTGAAACTAATATGTTTCTTACAAAAGTTTTACATATATGCCATCACTTTTCATACATTTGTTTAAAATTCTACAATGCTTATATTCAGATCTAGTTCTATCACATTTTATGGGGACTCGCTAGTGTATTATTTTATAAACCTTTGACTTAATTATTTTATCATGTGCTTTTAAAGTCTTCATGTAATATCCTCATCACCTCATTAAGGTAAAAAAAAATTAACTTCATCTTTCATCGCATAGAGATTTTCATAAAAACTTCAAGTATCTAAACACAAACTCAGAATTTTGATATAAATTGGATCAATCAAATACAATCAATTAGCACCTCAAACGCCGGACATAACTTCCACCATTTCCATAATGTAAGCTCTAAAAACTTCATCAAGTGTCACTCACAAAGGCAAAGAAAAAAAATGCCCTGGTGTTGGTGAAAGAAAATTGAATGAAGGAATTCAGACCACAAGGTATGAATCCTTAGCACAATCCAAAGGCATATTTCACTGTTACACACTTATAATACAAGGAAGGAAAACTCAAATAATTACAGTTGAGAAAATAATATTCAAGGAGGCCCCATTACGTTTCTGAAGGAGCTTTGTGATCAGGTCCAGAAAGTGTAATCTGCATTAGAAATTTAGCAACAAAGACCAAGAGGTAAAAAAGAATGATGAATGGTTAAATTCATAAAGATATTAGTCTCCAATTTGGCTCTTCTAAAGTGAGAGGTGCACTTCAAGAGGGTAGAGAGCAATGATAGCCACTTATTGAAAAATTAACGGTTGAGATTGTGATAAAATACATGTACATGGGTAACAATACATGAAGTTCAAATCTTAACCAATAATTTTCTAATCAACAGCTATCATTTCGAACTTTAATGTCCAAAGTACGCACCATATTTTAAAGGAGCCAAATCCATCTCTGAGTAAATCTAATGTAAATAGTTCAGGGAGACATACATTACAGTCAAATGCAAACCTCCTTGCAAGCATGATGGCTGCATTCCTTTCTCGCTCTGATTCAAAAGCTAATACAAAAGAAAGACCTTGCTTTGGTTGCCAAAAGATTGCCTGTGCTGCAGCATTCCCACCTCCTCGAACTCCACAAAGCTAAAGAAAACAAGAACAAAGCACCATATTTTGGTGAATAACAACAAATTAGATAAGGGAAGGAAAATATCAAAATCTTGAACAAAAAACTAAAGATATTTCACACAGAAAGATAGCTTCATTGCTCAAAGTATATAGACTATCAGAAAAAGGTTGAAAACAGTATTTTAACACAGTAAATATATGGCTCTTTTTTGTATGTACTAGGACTACACAAGCTAAAGAATGATGGAAGATGGAAAACATTTGATTTCTCACCCAGAAATATATATCACTAATTTCCCACAACTTGAAATACCTGCATTGAACTTGAATAGTATTCTTTGGCAATTGTTGTCTTTCCTTTACAGAGCTTCATCCGCATCTTTCCAACATGAAGCACATGAATAGATTCCGTTGGATGATCTGAGCCAGTCTGAGTTACAACCACCTGCAAAGTATTTAAAGTCAACTATTATTGTTGTCTTGTCACTATATCAGACCAAATATTCTAAAAGTTCTTATTATGAAATGTTGACAAAGTGCAACAACTACAGTTCTAAAACCAAAGAATCTGACCAGATTTTCTAAAACTTTTTACATTGAAATGTTAACAAAGTTCAGCACACTACTAGTTTAACGTAACCAGACACTACTTTTAATTGAAATTTGTTTATACAAGCGAAGGGACAAGCATGGAGCCCATATACACACTAGGTGAAAACACTGCTGAAGTTGATAATCACAAATGGTCAAGTGAGCTATACAATAAACATAACAAGTAACAAATGATAAGCTTATATAACAGCTCCAATAAATGACAAGTTCAGATTGATGCTTGCATACTACTTATAAGAGAAAGAAAAAGAAAAAACAAATAGTTAAAAGGATCACAATGACATACATTGAATTCAGTGTCATGTTTTCGCACAAGTGCCTCTACATAGGTTCCCAAACCAGCAGCTGCATAAGAATGGACAAAGAAACAAATTCGTCTCTTTAAATCAAAATAGAAAAGCCTAATAGTTCAAATAGATGAAAGTATGTAGAACCATTCCTGTCAATGAATACTAAATTAAAAGAGTATGACTCAGCATTGGAACCAAACCTGGATCAATTGGACCAGTGGTTGACAATGTGATCTGCTGACCTTCTGAAATAATATCAACTTGCAATATGCGTCCAACATCAAAAGGTTCAGGAGCATAAACTGATTTGGTAGCTCCTGAGAACAGAAAAGTTGTATTACATGATGAGCAAGGATAGAAAAGATACCAGATATGACATTTATTAACAATCAATATTCCAACACAATGCATCTCAAATGGTACACCTTATAGGATAAGCCCTTCCACCTTATTAATAAGACAAAATGGTTAATGACAAAAAATTTGCTCCTTCAATGGAAAAGTGACATCTAAAAGGATGGAAGATATCAACGGAGGTATTGGTGATGATGTGAGGAACAGCACATTTGTGGAAGTGAATTTTGACCCAGAAATGGTCTGCAATTTATGTTGTCAAATTCAACATATAGAGATCACCATATGGATAAAGTTCAGTTGTAGTTGAGATTGAGTGCCTTCTGGCACCTGCAATACAGGAAAGTATTTGAATTGACTAGATTGAAGGAATTCACATCTTTGTACTTGTCATGGTAGTTTCAACCTGTTGCATTAATTCATATACAGACCAAGGAAAGAACCTCTTCAAGAAAAGATAAACATCCCACTCAGCAATAGTATTGCTAAGGCACAAAATAGAATGCCTCACTGGGACAGTGATCAATTTCCCATTTTGTTGGCCATAAAAGGTTATATTGGCTTGATTGTCTATTTCTGGTGTATATGGTTCACAAAGCTTAGTACGGGGAATGTGGAACCCTTTAGAAGCAATCTGATATAAATACAGAATAAGCCAGTGATCATGTAGGCAAATACTTGGAGGCTAAAAGTTTATCTGCCAGAATAAAATTTCCACATGTAACAAAGAATGTTGGATATTTTTGGAAAAGTAACTCTTGTTACTGTAAAGCAATAAATATGATAACAATCATGAGTATGTTGTTAAGTGATTTCCATTAGTTAGTTAGATGAGTTGGTTAGGTAAGAGAAGTTTGAATAAAATATTGCATCTGAATAAGGGAAGTTGAGAGGGAGAGATCATCTCAGCATTTTGAGAAAGGATTACACTCAGAGAGTGGGGAGAGAAGAGAGTATCTTGAATACCCCAAGTATTCAATAAAAATTAATTTCCTTTTCTAGTTTCTGATCCAGTTCCTGTCATAAGTTTGTATATATTATCAAAAATAATATAAGAACTATATATTGAGAGTATTTTGTGCTATAAAGAAATACTAGTTAGAGGTTGCTTAATTTGCTATACACGCTATGGATAGAAATGTCACCATAAAAATTGTTATATTAATATAAATATATGACCATGCTTAGATAATAAATAATGAGTCAATTGATTTGAATGATCAACACCAAAAAAAAAAAAAAAAAAAAAAGCAATCCAACAGAAAATGTTATTTAAAAAAGCTCTTGATCTTTCAAACTGCAAAACTTTTGGAATTTGTACCTGAAATAAGTTCCTTTTTGGCACCTTCAGTTGATACACGATACCACTGAATTGAACATTTTGAAAGTTCAGGGGCATTATCAGAGGAAGGTTCAATTTGCAAATATGAACCTAATGTTTCAGTCCCTTCTAATTCATATAACTGGGGAACATTTTCCTCTCCTTTCTTTGTCCTTGCTAACTGAAAGGTGAAATGGAAGAAAATTAAGGACAACTTACAATTGAAGACACACAGTCATCAGATTACTCTTCAATTTTATCTACGAAACATATCATTCACTTCAAACAAAAGTATACTTAATAACGATGTCCATAACACTAAACATGTAAGACCTTTGAAAACCCCCAATTCTATATCAGATTCTAGCCTCAAGGAATAAATATGGAAGATTTGAATGTTTTTCTTTTTCTCTTTTTCTTTTTCATTATATTCATAGCCAATAAGTGATACTGATTAGTTTGAGAATTGGACAGTAAGATACTTGTGTGTATACACATACACGTCAACACACACAATTTTGCATTCTGCAGAACAAACTAGCACTTCCTAAAGTCCTGTAATTCAAAGCTCTTATTTCATAGAATTAGTCAATGACAATATATCCCAACCACTTCAAAATGGCATAACATTGTAGGCATACCTCCTTATGTAGTCGAAGATAGAGTCGAGACTTCTCTGCAAGTTGAACCCTCAATGCTCGAAGCTCATGTTCCATATCCATAACCTAAAATCAACAAATGAACAATGAATTCATTTACTTAAAATAACAATAAAAAATGTTAATATCATGCAAATATGATATGAGGCTAAGAAAATAGTAAGAGGGGCAATTTCAACCCAGGAGAACATGTATAAAGAATATACTGCAGCCATAACCAAATATATTCCCAGAATTTCCCCAGTTCTGGTTTCTGGATTCATTCTACACCTTCATAGATGTAATATCTTGCGCTGATTCAAATTCTTTCTGTCGTTTTGCAAGTTGTAAGTGATCATACATTGTTACTACATAACAGTACAACAGACCAGTAAAGTAACTATTCTTGAAAGGCAGAAAAACAAATTGACAGCATAATTCATAAACCACATGATAATTATGGCACTCGAGGACTGAGATAAAATTCAACTTTAACTGAAAACAGGGAAAAGGGCTAGAAAATATATAATCTTCATTTTCTCAAATTTCAAGCAACTATCACGTCTGACCTCTTTGTAATGAATAAGAAAATCAGGAGACGAGGCATACCAAAATATGATGACATTAAGTATAGAAGAGAACACACAAAATACGTTGCCAATAAGTATTGACGAAAAATAGTAGAGGTGGGTCAGGGAACTACATCTAAGAATATTTCAAACAATAATGATTGATCTACGACAATAGATGAAATAAGAACAAAGGCTCACTATATACCTTGCTTGGCTGATGCAGCATTTTGATTCTCCGAGCTTCTTGAACCTCCTTCATTAATTGTTCCACGTCCTAAAGTTCCAAAAGAAAAAATTTTGTTAAAATGAAAATTAGTTGGTTGATACAGCACTACAATATCAACAGTTATATTTCAATACAAATTATGATTATTGAAGAGTTTCTCTTATTTAATAATTTCTTATAAAGAAATTATACAAAAGAAAATGAATAAGTACAACTAAGGGTATATTAAATGGGTAGAAAATCAATAATGCATAAGGCTGTCCAGTCTCTCCATACATCAGAAAGATGTAAAACCCTTTGGAACAGTTATGTGCATAGCAAAAAGAAACAAACAAACCATCTCAAAATATAACTATGGGCAAAGATTGGCCCTTAAAAATGAACACATTCTTTTCCAACCTACATCAAAGGAAAGTCAAAAGCTGCATAATGCCACAATTCTGGAACCATAGTTTTCTCCCCAAATCTTTGAAAAAAGAGAAAGTGCTCGTAAGGGTTAAGTGAAGGGCCACACACAAGATTTATTCAGAATACCAGACATCTTATTCCAAAGGAGAGAAGCTTCCCAACAAATTCAAATACAATCTAGAAATATATGGGCCACTGATTGAGCATTAACCCTACTCATTTGGTACTGAAGTCTAGACAAAGAATCATGCAGGGAGTTTTGGATTTCGGGTTGTCAAAAGAACATGAGAAATACCTCTAAAAGGTAATGTCCCACACTGAGACAACCACCAGAAATTATGTATGAGAAACATCCAAACCAAAAGAAATAAGCAATGTTCTAAACAAACTACATTCCCAACAGATAAGTTTGCAGATAGAGGGCAACTAAACATTAAAGCTTAAGTAACTAGTTGGAAATACCCACCATGGACCTACCTCAATAAAGGACAAAATCAAACATGAAGAAATTTGTATTCACTCATAGTTTCATATAACATAAGTTGATTATATTTAAAAAAATGGACTGGAATCAAAAAGAAAATAATTGATAAGTCAGATGCACTTATCATTATGGCAGAAGGAAAGATCCAAATCTCCCAATTTTAAAAGTTGAACACTTAAAATGACAAGCAAATAGGATTAACCTGTTTCCCTGAAGCTCGAGACATTCTTTCATGCTCCTGAAGTGCCTCCTCCACTCTCTGAACTGCTGCTCTGGCATTATCTATTTCAAAACGAGCAAAAGCTCTTTCCTCATCCACAAGTTTCTTAGCATCTTCAGAAGCCTACAAATAAATCTAAACTCTCAACAATAGAAAAGAAAGTTTCTTTTGTCACCCTGTCATTCATTCCACCATGAAAGATATATAATGCTGATAAAATATTGAATCGACTTCCAGAGGTTTCATTCCACACACAAATTAAATAGACAGTTTAGTTTCCGCCCACATTTTGTTCATTGCATATAAACTTTTATGTGTACTGACTACAAATCTGCTATGTGTTGGTTATTGAAATTGCAAATACTCTCAAGATCATTCCTGCTATACTCTAGTGTCTCTTAGACTCGGAAATGTTATGCTCATTAATTTATGGCACCACACAGATTATGTTGTCCTTTGATGTTTCCAATTGAAGTCAGGCACAGAAGTGTAAAGGAAATATTTGTGGTAATTTATCATGGGAAATCACAGTTGTTTTAGGGATTTTTTCTAGCAGGCATGGAGAGGGATCAATTGTGCTAAAGGAAATGATTTTGATAAATCTGATGCCACTTTTGGTCTTGTTTCATTTTCTGTTGCCACTGAGTTTAGAGAAGACATACCATTATTCTTTGTAAAAATTTTCTTTATTGCTTATCAAATTTCTACTTCTATCACAAAAGAAAAAGAGAAGGTCAAAGAAGTTAACATCACCTGCTTAAGAAAATTTGTTAGCTTCTTCACTTCAACCTTTTCTTGTATTAGCTCCCCTTCCCTTTGAGTCAACTGAACTGCTAGAGCCTCAACCTGCAGAATACATTAAATAAGTTACAGTTGATTATAATCACAAATAGAGTGGTGCAATAATAAATGAGCTAGAATATTGTAACTTCTGTGCAGGAGAGGTAGAGCAATGAATCAATTATATATCTGAGAAAACTTAAGATACTGCAAATTTTAAGAAATATATCCCATAGCTTGTTTTCCATGCTTTTCCATTCACACCAATCCCCCACCCTCTCTCCCCTCTCTGTGTGTGCTTATCCTGTCTGTCTTGACAGAATAAAAAGAATGTCAAAATACAAGTGCTCTGCAATCATGTTGGATAATTGTTGATGCAAATCCTTTAGAAAAACATAAACACCAAGATACTAATACTTTTCTTTTGGTGTAAGACAGTAAGAGAATACTACTTTGATGTATATTATACAGGAATTATTATTCATTCTTTACTCACCAAGTACACCACACTGTTATAACTTGCACTCACATTTGAGAGTTTCCAATGACCCTAAAATGAATCACCAACTCTAAAATTAATGGGATAACTTGCTATTATTAAAAGTATACGATGCAACAAGTTATCCCATTAACACGATAAATATGAAATAAATTTCTGCATATAATTATTTTATCACCTTCATACTAATTCTTTATCAGATAACAGAATAAATATGAAAATATATTTCAAGTATCAGTACGAAAAAAAGTGCGCCTATTTCCTTGAAAAAGGAACTAACCATAGCAATGGCTTCCTGTACATCATCCTTGTTTCTTCCTGCCACTCTCCCCTTTAAGGATTGCAGTGCATCTCGAAGCTTCTTCAAAAGAACATGTTTTTCCAGTGAAGCTGCTTCTCTAAGTCTAGCCTGAATTTCCCCACCATACACAAGCTTAGTAATGACAACGACATGAAAATCTTTGCAAATCACAACCACTGATAATTTCAATGGAAAACATTAAAAAACAATGACATAATAGAAATCTCAAGTTGAAATACCCTCCAAAATTAAGCATTATTTAGGGATAAAAAAATTATGTTGAATTTTAAATAGGAAAAAGGTGACCTCTTCAGACAACTTAGCAGCAGCAGCCAAACCCTTCTCAAATTTACTGGCAAGATCGCGAACTGACAGACGTTTCTGCTGTTCCAACAGCAGTGCAGTCTCACGTGCAACAACCTCCTTCATAGATAGCACTTTTGAGTCATCCTTTGCCTCCACGATCTGATTGTTAGCTCCAATTTTGTAATTAGGAAACCGAAGAGAAGCAAATATTACATCAGCCGACACAGCCGGCACTGCATCTTTCTGCATAGTATCCCCAAAATCACGGGTCATCCTCGTCATTTTCACGAACTATTTACCTCTGCCAATCACAAAAACAATGCAACATTTAGCATGAATAATTGAGCAGATTACGTTACACTTAAAGCAGTTCAATGAAATTTTACAAACATACCAAAAAAAGAAAGGAACTTTCACTCACATTCATCCATAAACAGAATAAAATAAAACCCAAAAACATACCCCAAAATCAGAAACTAACAATTTCAGGTACCACCACTCCACCCTACCCATTATGCCTAATTAAATCAAAAGCAAACTTTACATCTTCCAACAATGAACCTGAACCCTAATTCTCCAGCTCATCACATTGTTCTCTTCTATTTTTTTTTTCCATTTTTTTAAAGATGAACCTATCAGTAAAAGGCTAACAAAAGAAAAAGAGTTGAACTTACAGATCATGAAATGACAAATAATGGGTACTTGAGCTTGGGATTCTTAGATCAGATGCAAAGGGGTTGCTGAAATATGGTTATCCACCAACAGGGTAGCGATGAGAGAGAGAGAGAGAGAGAGAGAGATGTTAGCTTTGCTTTTTGAAAGGAAAAAGAGAATGGCGCCCCCAGGGAGTGGCCCCTCAACAAGTTTGTGTTTTAAGTGTTAACGTTTTCAGTTGTGTTGTTTCCAACTTGGAGTCGGATACTCTATTGTTTTGTCCATGCCTTCCCTTCTTTGTTATTATGCTTTTAACTCAAAACTCTTTGGCGGGTCCCAAGCTTCTCCCTTCCTTCTCTTACCGTTTACTTCACTGTTCACTCACTTTTTTTCAACTCTTTTTTTTTTTTTCTCTTAATTAAGTAGTAATATAATTTTTTTTCATGCTAAGTAGTAATGTATGTTGATTTAATAATAAAAGTTAATAATTTTGCAAACATTACCAATTCATGGTTAGATATAAAACTTCCACCTTAATTTCTCATTTTATCCTTTAATTATGTAAAAACTCGTCTTCTGTGTATGAACTCGTATTAATCTTTTTGTTTGACATATAGCATCTCTATTATGTAAATTAGCGTCGAAAAATATTGATTAAGAAATTATTAATTGAAAAGAATAATATTAAGATGTATTAAAAATTACGATGAGAACATATTAAAATATTTTTTAATACAAGTTTTTTCTTTTAATTTTTTTAGTGTCTATTGTATATTAGTTAGTATTTATCAAATTTATATATATTTTCATTTGGTGTTTAAATTTATCAACTTCGTAATACGGTAATTCTTATAACGTGAAATTGAGAAATTTATATGGTTATGAAATTGACAAATTTGAATACTATAAATTGTTATGAAGTTAATAAAATTTTGAGATTAAATTGATAAAAAAAAAATATTAAGAAGATTATAAATTACATTATAAAGATGACAAAAAAAATCTAATTTATGGGTTGAGGCATCTAACTTGCTAATTTTAACGTACATATCAGAAGTTTTAGATCCTACTAACCCATTTAATCTCTCTTTATAAATCCACATTTTAAAAAACGTTAAGTGGATGAAACAGGTTGAACCCATTGAATTAAGTTTTTTCTTTAATATGATAAAAATTTTAAAAATTATATTTTTATATCTCTTAATTTATATGTAAATTTTATAAATAAAAAAATATTAATATTAATAAAATTAATCATTGATTTATGTTTAAACTTAACTATACATGTTTTTTATTTAATGTATATTAGTTTAGCTTTTTAAATTTGTAAGTGAGTGAACTCATCAACCTAATTTAAAAGTGAAATGAAATTTATGCTTTTGACTCGTATCTAAAAAAGGACAGGTTGATCCACTTTGCTATTTCTACTAAATTATATGTATGCAAACTTTCAAAATTAAATTAATTTGAATTATCATTTTTAGGGTTTTTTTATGTGTTCCTTTTTACTTGGAAATAATATTACAGTAACAAGTTTTTATTCTTTAGTTGCAATAATTATATAACTGAAGCACTCAGGTATTTGACTTGGCTTTGTTTAAGGAAAAGAAAGGTGTTTTGCATTATTTTGCTGACATGCATAATAATAATGTCAGAGAAAACTTCACCAAATAATGAGTTATGTTCTTCTGGAAGTGGTTGTTTTCTTGTGGTGTATGCAAATTTCCTTGCCATCAATCATCATCTAGCATCTATCACACAAAGTTTTGTAACTTCTTATGTGACACTTATGCAGCTCCTTTTTCTTTTCCTTTTTCTGTAAAAAAAGTTTCCAACTTACATAATCATGTTCACTTCAAATCCAACTTGTTCATTTTTAGTTCTTTCAACAAGAAACTCAAGGTAAATTGTAAGATGCTTGGATGATAAAATACTAATAATTTTTGTTGTTTTGGTTCTTAAAAATGATTGTCAGTGTAAATTAGTCTTTTAAAAAAATTACAAGTTAATTAAAAAATTAATGGGATAAACTTATTAATTAATTGGTACTATTTAAGATAAAAAAAAATACAATTTATTATTAGTTTAATCCATTGATTCCAGATCAAATTGTATGTTAAATCTTATAAATTCCTATTAAAACTTGAGACATATATACTTCTTTTGGCTTTGAATTCAAATACCTTCTCTCTCCCTAACCTTTATATTAACAGGAAAAAAGAACATCACTGTTAATATTTATTTATTAACTAATTCTTTTAATATATTTATTAATTAATATTTAATATATATAAATCAAATTATATCACATCACTATTTCAAAAATTTTGACACTTTTAAATATATATCAAAACATCATTTCATGATAGGGCATAACATTTTACACATTAATATCAAATTTAAATTTATATAATTAGAAAAATGTTAACATCAAATTTTAAAGTTGATTTTAAGCAATTAAAAATATTAGCATTTATTATACTTTTGATATATTAAATGGTCTCTTTTAAAGGAAAAATATTAATTCTTAAGAAAAGTATTAAGCTATGCTATAATGATCAAAATTAAGGAGGCAATTTAAGTACCTACAGTTGGAAGAAAATTTATTTGCTCTATGAAATTGAAACCCAATCTTAAGTTTGCTACTATGAAATAAATAATGAGTGTGATCACTGAAGCCCTCCATAACTTGAGGATGGAGAAGCTTGATCTGAAACTAGAAGCTGTGCACTAAAAACCATTAATTGACATTGAAGCCTTGTGGTTCCATCACAGGAACATTATTAACCATGGCAACTACAAATTCATATTTTAAAAACATAAAAAAAATTGTTGTAAAAGAAAAGAACATAAGAAAAAATTCACTAAAGATTTGATATCATTTGTAAAATATTTCTAGACTTGCACCAAAACCGAAATCTTTCTTACCATCTACACCTTTGTGGTCAAAAAGTTTACCAAGGTCAATGCTAAGTGGTCAACATTTTTTCTCAAAATTAACCATGTTGTTAGAGGCTTCTATTTGTCGGTGTTATTAATTTGTAGAGGGAAAAAGAAAGAAGCAGATACAGTGGTGGAGCTCGAGAGGAAAGTAATCATTGCTTAAGGGCCACCATTCAAAAAATAAAATAAAATTAAAGATAAATGTTAATTAATGTTTTTAAAAGATTTAATAAATAATAAATAAATATATTTAATGAAATTTATCTTATAAATAGCATTAATTCATCAGATAATTTACTATTTAATGTTTCTTTCAGTTTTAATTCCATATACACTTTAAAATATATATATATATATATATATATAAATTTATTTAAGATTATAGTTTATTTTAACATCAATCTTTAATAATTGTATTCATTTATATGATATCAGTTAAATTATATTCAAACAATTAAAATATAATTTAAAAATTTAACAATATATTTATCTAACATGACCATGGTTATCGGTCAAGTAAAAATATTATTTATTTTTAACTACATTTTTTTTTTACAAAATAACATAAAAAATTATTTTAAAAATTTGTGTACTATAATAAGAATTAAATTTAAAAGAATACTTGTTGAGACTAAACTAAAATCATATAACACGTATTGAAATTAAATTCATATTTTATAAAACATAAACTATAAGTCATACAAATTTGAAAAAATTTACACGTGTTGCCCCTAGATGAAGACTTAAAGAGAAATTTATAGTTACGTATATTTCCAAATGAGTTGCAAGCATATTGAGTTTTGAATAAAATCTAGTGTTGACTTTCATTTTTGCTATGTAGCAGTAGATTTTAGTTTGAAATCCATTGACGTGTTTTTTTCTTACAAACGTCCAAAAATAGTGAAAATTATATGTATATTGTTTTATTTCAACGAAATAACTCCTAATTAGTATATCTAACATGTTATTTTAAGAAACTAATATTTAGATTTATAGAATAAAATTATATGCATCATACTCTAAAAAAAATTAATAAAGAATTTGTAATGCTCTCTCAAAAGTTGAAAAATCTTAGAATTCTAACTTGGCTGTAAAAATGAAAATTTTATTATTATTTATTTATTTAAGAATTTAAAGAAATTAAAAAATTATTTAAAAGGAGAAAGAGAAAAATAGATAAAGGGATTAATCGTCAAATTGAAAAAACTTAAAAATATGTGATTAGAAATGTTTTAAAAGGTTTATAAACCTCCTCTTTTATCTAAAAACTTTTAAATAAAAATAATTATGATACAAATATTTGTTTCTCTCTTTTTTTCTCTAAAATTAACTTTCAAATAAAATCTAAAAAAACTTTGTGATCTTCGTATTTATACAAACAAATTTTGAGGAGAATCTATTTTTCTTTAACTTTTATCTTCAATAAAGTAGAGTATTAGCTAATTATGTGTGTTTAGTAAAAGTAGCATATAAGCTAACCGAAAGCTAATAAATTAGCTAAAAATTGAAAATGTAACTAAAAATAAAGAGATAGAAAAAATAAAGTGATAAACTAACTAATTAGATTAAAAGTTTTATAAAATTAAATATTAAATTAGTTAACAAATATATAACAATTTTTTTAAAGTGTGTCAAAAAATACACATGTTAAATATTTAGAAAATTATTAAAAATAAGAATGTTGATTATTTCAAAATTATTAAAAAAATATTTAATACATGTTTTTATGATAATTTAAATTATTTAACAAAATATATTTAATGGTTCTTGAATTTAAGTTTACATTAAAAAATTGAATATAAAATAATGAATATAAATATAATTAATTTTTGAACCTATAACTTAAAAATTTGTCACTCTTTTAATTTTTAATTTAGAATTTTAAATTTGGTAATTATATATCTTAAAATTATTGTTAATTTTTTATTTTATTATCATTTTAAAATATTTTTATTATATATAATGAAATAAAATGAATCAATATATAATCTTATTTTGATAATTTATATTATAAAAAATAATATTTAATAATTTAATATATTTTAATAAGATTTAATGATAATTGATAAAGAAGATTTAGAAAAGTTGAAGGTAAAACAGGTAAAAGTTGTAAGGTTTTAAAAATTAAATGGTAAAATAAGGGATTAATAGGGACAAAAATGAAAATTTCTCTCATGACAAATAGCTGAAAAGTAGCTTAAAAAAAATAACCGTTAGGAACCACATATTTTAGCTATTTTACTAACCACAATCGTTTCTATTAAAAGGTGTGCTTAGGCGTAACTCGTGGGTGGTGGGTGAATGGGAACATGACTCTTCATTGTCAATACCTACT